GTCTGTTCTGTCCCTGAAGCTTTCTGCATCTTTTGCCTTTGTAGACACTCCCCTCCCGGGCCCAGGCTGCCTCCTGTCATCAGGCTGTGCAGTGGGTGATGAGGCCACTTGCTGGGTCTCAGACACACGCCTGTCCTGAGGCTTCAGAAGCTGCTGTGCTGGGGGCACAGACATCATCGGGCCTGAGGTCATTCATTCAGCCCAACGGGCACCGGCTCTCACTTAGTGGTCATGGATGGGTGGCGGATTTTTTAATCATTTTATTGTCTGACTGCAGCTCTCTGGTTCGCCTTCAGGATGTGACTCACTTGTCCTCTTTCTTTCTCTGGCATGTGCTCCTCGCTTTGCTTTGGGGGTCTTGGTAGGTCACGGTCTGTGGCTGAGGCCTCTGGCTGGGTGACTTTTCATGGGGCAACCCCCATTCTGAGCAGACACATAGACCCAGAGTTAAAATAAAAGAACGAGTCCTAGCGATATCATTTCTCCCAGCTATCAGCCCCCACATTCTCCCTTAACCTGGTGATCAGTGGCTTCTACTTAGTGACCTCTTAGTTCAGACAGATGCTGCTGATTCACTGGTCAGTAATTTCAGCTGAGATGCTTTTGTTTGGTCATAAAAGGACCATGCTTTTAGGCAATCAGAGGCTTTTGTTTTTAAGGGAAGAAGTATGTTCTAACAAAAGCTGCGGGTTTTCAGGTGAGATATTTTCTAGGCACAGGCTGCAGGCATCTAGAAAGAGCAGGCAGGGAGTGGGCAGCTGTCAGAGGAGCAAGCAGGGAGAGGAGGGGCCTGCGCAGGATGGTGGTGGGCTTTGAACCCCACCCAAAACAGCAGTGTCACTGTAAAGCCATTAGCTAGGCCCAATTCCGGTCAGGGATTCTACCTTCGAAACACCTGTCAGAATGTGGGACCCGGCGTTAGTGAGGCCAACTTTCTGGGTTTGTCAGGGATGGACCAAGGGTCTTTTCAGGTGCAGGAATTTCAAGGCTAAATGGCAATATTCCTAGACACACTGGTGCCTGGTCACCCTAAATCTGCATACTTTGCGCATAAAGGCTTTGTCTTCAACTAGACTGTATTAAAACTAACGCTTTTTTTTTTCTTTAATGAGGAATCAGATCAAATGACTTGTGCTATGAAAGTTGAAAGGAAGTGAATTCTCCCCACTGCCCCCCCCCCACCACCACCTAAGTTCTCAATTTCCCGTGGGGAAAAATAGCAATGCTCGCTATTATATCCTTCTTATTAGCAAAGCAGGACTTCAAACTCTATTTGAGGGATGACCCCCTTACAGGAATTAGAGACACTGAATGTATTGCCAGCTAGTCATAGCTGTCCATCTGCTAATTCTCTCCACATAGAGGGAGCAGCTGTCATTTCAGAAATGCTACAGTAGATAATAAGATGGGGTGTATTTCATCTTCAAATGCTTAAAGCAAATCCCTGGGAGGAATAGCAGCAGTTCCTCTGACTGCATGAATCTCTGATATTATTAACACAAAATGCCAAATGGATTTGGAGATTGGGAGCAAATGGATTTGCTTTAAAAGGGAAAGCACTCCAGCTAGCTGTCGTACATATTGTAATAATCCGCAGTTGCGTAGACAGAGGAACTGCCGAAGCCTTGGGCACACACAGAGACACTCCGAAAATCACAGCCACACAGAGAGCCTGGAATACAAATACAAACATACGGGCCTCCCAAATCCACACAGCCTGTCTACCAAAAGAATACATCGTTGCCTCCATCCTCACCAAAGCAACCAAATTTATCGCAAATTTAGCGTCCCTAAGCCTCACACTGGCCCGATTCTCTGTGACCCATGCACTTAGATGACCTTAGAGGCCACCTTCCTGACATTCTAACCAACAGTCCAAAGTCCAACCATCCATTTATGTCGGCGATTGCCTTGCAGTTTTTCTTAGGTGAATTCTGTTCTTTTTTGCCCCATCGCTACCACCCTGAAGTGTGTTCAAGTCAAAGGGGACTGAAAGTTGGACATGGCCTCTTGTCCGGGGCTCCTGGCCAGACTTCTTCTCCCTTCCAATCAACTTGCATTAGCTTCCTGATTGTTCTTTTATTTTTTTTTTTTTAAGATTTATTTATTTAATATAAGCACTGGGTAGTGTCAGAAGCGCGGGAGGGTGAGAGAATTCACCACAGCCAGAGCAGGGAGCAGAACAGACAGACTGACGAAGTACACTGCTGAGGGGAGCAGCGGGTGGCAGGAGAGGTCTGCGCGCCATGTGGGACCCTCTCCGGTGTCCGGGGATCGAACCAGTGCTTCAGAGGCTGTGGGCAGCTTCGCAGCCCAGCGCTCGACCGCTGGGCCACCAGGAGAGGCCCCTGATTGTTCTTCATAAGGAAAAACATTCGAATGAGGCAAGGAGCCAAGAGGCTAGTCCTGGAGGAGCCACGCCTCCCAGGCCTCTCAGCTGGGTGAGGCTCATGGTGAGCAGTTGTGGATGGGGTGTGTGCTTGCATGGAGGGGCAGCGTGGCCTGGGCAGGTGGGGACAGTGCATGCAGATATTTCTCCATGGAGGCATCTACAACAGATCTCATCTCATTTGATCCTCAAATAATCCTCGGAGATAAATTGAGCATATCTAGTTGTTTTTTTTTTTTTCCCCATAGGAGAACACTAGCTCTCAAAAAGGTCCCAGATCCCACTTCTGCTGACAGAATTGAAGCTGGGACTAGGTTTTAACCAAAAGCTCAGCTTATTCTGATTGCAGCACAAAACTACATGATAGAGATCAATAGATAAATAGATCAATACAGATGATAGATGGATAAAAACTAAATTGCATATGTAAATATAATTTAGGGGGTTGTAATCTGGAGCAGTATTTGTGCTATGAAGTGACCTGTGGGCCTATTCCATGTGGGTATCGCCACTGCACTTGGGAATGAAGAGAAGAAGAGGTGGAGAGAGTTGGCACATAATTGCCAGCTATTGTACCCATACGGTGCCTACGCATCCATGTATGCAAACAGAAATGCTTTTAAGGTGCCTCGACAAATTCCATTACTTTCAATGTTATGAAGAAGAGACAAATCCCCAGTGTTGATGAAATTCCAGGTCAAGGCAAAAGGAGAATCTCAGAGCAGTCAAAGAGAGTCCTGAGGCTAAGGGAGGCCGTGCCTGCAAACACCTCGATTTGAGAAAAGGAATTCATTTAAACCCAACAAATCAGTTCAGGAGCAAGTCCGGGCCATCTGCTGATTTCTGTTGCTATCGGCATGAAAGATCTGCTTCCATCCTACCTTCATCCTGAATCGCCAGGCAGAACAGATAAGCCCTATTTCTAGATGTCATTGCTCTTAAGAAGCAGGGAGGGGGGAAAAGGCAAGAAAAGAACAAAAATGCCAGAGAGGAATATGCAAAAAACCTACCATTTCTCGAGTCTAAATATTTTAATGGTGAAATCAGAATAAATGATTAAAGTAAAGAATTTTGGTTTCCAGTGAGCTGCGCCAGGGGACTGACAAGCAGCAGGAAACTAATATTTAAAGATAATTTCAGAAACATGGAGATGAGAAAGAAAAAAGAAGAGGCTGAACCTTTTACTTCTGCCTCCAAGATTTGTTAAATATAGTGTTTTTAAACAGAAAATCTATCAGATTCCACATTTAATGATGTTAATGCATTTATGCATTCCAAATTATTTACTGAACACCACCTCTGGCACAATTACGGTGTTAGGACTTTGCTGGTAACAAGGAGACTCTGCCCCCAGGAAGCTCACAGTCTAATTGGGAAGGCAAGAGAAGTAAAATAAAAGAAAGTAAATTAAATAAAATCCCATCCAATGGGGTTTTATAAGAACTCTGATTCAGGGGCCCTTGGGATTCTATTGCAACAAATAGGAGCAGAATGGAAGGCCCTGCATTCCTGACCCCCAAAAGTTGACTAGGTGGGAAGAGGTGGCAGAGGGACAGCAGGCACCAGTGATCAGGGGGAGCTGTGGGCGCTTTGTGGACTGGAGTCTAGAAGGACAAGGGTGAAGGAAGTGGGTGAGGGGGGTGTCTGGGCTGGGTGCTGGGTGCTGTGCTGCTCTTTCCCATCGGTGGCGCCTTGCTTGTTAGCCCGATTGAGTCAATGCCACCTTAGCAGGACTTCTGGGAGCTTCCCTGACCTTGGGCTGCACTTGGTCACCTCTGGTGGTGGTGGGGACCTTACCTGACAGCTCAGTCTCCTTCCTGCTGGATGGCAGCCCCTGCTGGCTGGAGCCAACTGTGTCACCTTTGTAAAGGAACGTGATACTTGATACCCTCCTGTGCGAATATCTCCCTTCCCCAAATGAGTGGACGTGTGACTTTGAGTTCATTTCTAATGAGAGCTAATATTCCGTGATGATGACTTGGAAAAGATACTGGCTGTCTGGGTAAATGTCAAGCTTTCTGTTCATCTCTGAGGATTGGAAAGAAGAGATGTGATGGGAGAAATAGCCTTGTGATTTTTCAGAGGCAAACACTGATGTAAACCCTGTTTCTAAGTTATGTGATCTGGGCCCATTTATTTAATCATTTCTGAGCTTCGGCCTCTTCATTGGAGTGCAATATTATCCACCTGGCAGAGTTACTGGACCAGCTGGAAATATCATATATAACACACCCAGCTTGCTCAATTGAATCCACCTTAATTTTCTGTAGAATTGAAGGTCCCAGAGGTGAGAGAAACTTACCAAATCTGTTCTCTGTGGATCTATATAGCGGGGAACTACTTTTTCCAAACTGCGTCTTAAAACTCTGATAACCCAATATCAAGTCAATTATGGTCTCCGGTTCTTTTGGGGACTATGAATAATCACAACGCTTTGGGAGCTTTTAAAGACCCATCTGCAGATTTCTGGACATCAGCAATTGATGCCAACTGGGCAGAAGTCAGAGGGAAGTCGGATTCATTAGCTTAATTGTCTGTCTTGTTGAGCTTTATTTTCTCAAGTGATTTTCTTCTAAGTGTGTATTTATTTGCTTGCTGTTTGTTCCCACAGCCACAGATGCTCGCTGAGAGGGGAGGACTTGAACCGGCAGTGGCTCTCGCCCAGCGCTGAGCTCCAGCCGACCATCTACCATGCCAAAGGCCTCCTCCACTACCTGAGCAGCATTGGCCGGAGTCCCGTGGTGAGTCACTTCCTTCTGCCTGTGCACTCTTGGCTGGTTGCACCCACCTTCCAGGAGGCGGATCACTTTCTCACTTTCTGTAATCAAGGCAGGAAAATCACACAAAGGCCAAAGAGCTCTGAGATTCAGTTCCAAAGGGGCTGTGTGCCTTTTCCTCAAGCTGTCCTAGCAAAGGACTCCAACTGGGTGGCTCAAAGAACAGAGCTTCTTCCGTCACATTTCTAAAGGCTGGAAGTCTGAAATCAAGGTGTCCGTGGGCCATGATCTCTGCAGGGTCTCAGGCAAATCCCTTCAGGTCTCTTGCTGCTTGTCCGCACCCTTGGCACTCCTTGGCATGTGGCAGCATCTCTGCCCTCTCCACCTCCATCTGCACGTGGGCACTGGCCCTCTATCTGTGTGTCCACATGTCCCTCTTCTTCTAAGGACATGGTCACTTGACTAGGGCACACTCAGCTCATATGGCCTTAGCTTAGATGGATTGCATCTGCAGAGCCATCTTTCAAAATAAGGTCCTGTTCACAGATTCTTGGGGTTAGAGTTTCAACCTCTCTTTGGGGAAGGACACAATTCGATCCACAACAGGGGCAGACCATTGGCTCAGTCCTCAGTGAAAACTGGGCAAGAAATTGCATTTCCTCCCACTTTATTTTTCTGTTTTTTTGGTGATTGATCAAGAAAGAAAATGGCTATGCCTCTGACATGGTGTTTAGAAAAAATCCTCTAGTTGTGCAGATTCTTGTGCAGCTTGGATTTATTAAATTCCAAAGATAATTATGGCACTGTTCTAGGCACTGCCACAAGCAGGCTTTTCTTCCAAGCTTGTAGCAATTGCAATTGATGAAAAGCAGATTATTTGAATCCTGAGGCTTAAGCTCATGATCAGAAAGGAGGAAATAGTACCCAAGTGACTGTATGAAAACAACCATTTATTGAGTACAAATTATGAGCATAATCTATCCCCCAAATCATGGAGGGGCATGTGTCCAAAGTTAGTGTTTACCCAACCTAAGGAATTTAAGCTAGCATGAAGTTCACAGATGGGTCAATAATCATGTTTACCATTAACCTCCTTTGCTCCAATCACAAGGCAAACAAAAGAGAACATAAACAATTGGGAGTATACGAACATATTCTTTGTGGACAAAACAGTGGCACATTCAGTGAATGTCTATTGAGACTATGGGCTGATGTTGAATATAGAATATAGAATCATATTGAAATCTCAAGAAGATTAAGAGATCAAATGATTTCCCTGAGGTCACTGGGAAGTATCCAGATTTGGGATTCAATTCTGATCTGTGATTTGCGTCCTGCAGTCCCAACTCTCTTCATCACTTAGTCTTTGGAAAGTATATTTGAGGGTCCCCAAGACCATTCTCAGATTTAACAATTCTTTAGAAGGACTCAAGGCTGTTATGTTCATAATTATGGTTTATTACAGTGAAATCTGTGTGTGCACATATCATGCAGGTGAAAATCAGCAAAGGTAAAAGGCACAGAGGTAGAGGCAGGAGAGACAGTTGTTTTCTGGGTCCACTCCTAGTGGAGTCGTACTGATAGTGCCACATTCTCCGGCAATAACATGTGTGGTGACATGTAGAGCATCACCGGCCAGGGAAGCTTACCTGAACTGTGGGGTCCAGGTTTTTATTGGGGTTCATTTCATAGCCATGAAGCATTTCATGTGACTGATCGTAGTTACTCAGCCCTTACCAAGGTCAAAAATGACAGTTTATGCCCCAAGACCACCGCCATTCATTGTTAACATCAACCATCTGGCATTACCCGAGGCCCCAGGAAAAGAAAGGCTCTTATCCTGTAGAAGATTCCAAGGATGTGAAGATAGTCTCCCAGGATCTATCAAGGGCAGGACCTTTTTTAAAAATGTGCAGGGTTTGAATGCATCAGACTTGCTGAGTCAATCCTTTCTTGCAAAGAGAACAAAGCACATTCTTTCTTCTTAAGAATTATCTTTCTATATTGATGAAATGTACAATATTTTCATGTTAACCACCCCCCATCCAAGAAGACACTGTCGTCTGTATTTTCTGCCCTCTATAAGCAATTTTAAAGTTTTCATTACAAAGATCCAATCTCATGGTCAAGATATGGAGAAAATGTGTTCACCGGGTAGGAAGGCTCAGCTCTGGGAAGAGAGAGAAAGAGACTTAGAGGCAGAGTTTGCTACCTGATGCACCTCTCAACACACACATCCAGCACATCCAGCCCATAACAAGCAGGATTCCTCTCTGCTCTGACAGCCTCTAATTGAAGAACAGAACATTTATTTTAAAGCGTGACAGGTGAAAACCTTGTTTAAAAATATAAATAAACATTAATTAACTGTAAACATGACAGCTGCAGACTTGTTTCCTGCTGGGACCATCTGAGAGGTGGGTGAGAAACAGCTGAGCACTAAATGCTATTCACAGTGACACAAAGCTCTCTAATGGCTCAACACCATCTTTTAGTTACCACGGAGGCTGTATTGAGCCAGCTCCCGGCTGAGAGCAGGACTGCCGCTCATCTGTGCCTGGGCCTGTCCTGTGCTGGGAAGGGTCCCCTTGCGACAAGGGTGACTCTTGGCTGTGTGGCTGCAGATAAGCTATGACTTTGCCCACCTCTGGCTCTCATGAAAATATTTCCTGAAGCATCAGGAGGTTCAACCTCTTCTAGAAGTTACTCAGGTATATCTCTATCGGCAGGTAAAATAACATGAACTCCTAGGACCAGTAATGACACAAGTTGGTGAGAGATACCAGCCCCCTGATGTTGTTGGTACTGCTAAAGACCAGAGAAGCCATTCAATTTATAAGTGATAGGGAAATAGTCACATATTGCTTCACTGATCTATCCACTAGCCCCCCCATCTATTCATTTTTCCATCCATCTATCCATTGGTGCATCCATCCACCATCCATCCACCATCCATCCACCATCCATCCACCATCCATCCATCCATCCACTCACCCAGCTGACTACTTATTCCAAGTGTGTGTAATCGCTGGGTTAGGTGCCAGGCAAAGGCAATGAAAAAATTTTCCTTTTCTCTGGGGAATCTAAAGTTTACTTTGGTAGAACATGGAGTCTGGTAAGCAAAGAACCCAAAGCAGTGCAAAATGGTAAAAACTATAACAGACACATTTAAATTGTCACAGGAACATAAATGAAGGGTTGAGTCATTTTCCTTCAAGGTTATGGAAAAGTTAGAGTCTGCAGGTGCCATTTGAACTGAGCTTGAAGGATGGTAAGAGTTTTGCTTGGTTATTTATTAAAATAAGGCTGAGATGCATTCTTTCCAAGACAGCCTTAGGTCTGTCTATGATCGCTTAGATAACTTCTTCCTGGTGAGGCTGGGACTCTGATGAGTTTACTATGCTTGCGGTCACTGCATAGGGCAAAGGGAAGGAAGCTTTTCATTAACTGGAGGCACAGACACATCTGACATCACCCTGATCTTATGGCCCCTTACCGATTCTCTTGAACCCCAATTTTCTGTCTCATTTTTTAGAGAGGCAGGAAATCTGCTTCAGATGGTGGATACAAAAGTCTAGAAACAGTAAATATTAACATATTCATACATTGGAATACTATTCAGAAATTAAATTAAGAAAAGAATAGTGTACCGAGAAACTCAACAACATGGATGGATTTCAGCAACATATTGAGTGAAATAAGCCAGACACTAAGGGGTACATATGCTATATTTCTATTTATGTAAAGCTCAAGATCAGCAAAAGTAATCAATGAAGAGACAAATCAAGAAGGAGATTGAATAATAAGGGTCAGGCGGGAACATTCTAGTTAGTGGAAATATACTATCTCTTGATTGAAGGGTCAGATATATCCACACCCATCAACTTGTACCTTCGCAATCTGTGGATTCCACCATCAGGACATCCTCACCTGAACACAAACAGTTCAGGATAAATCAAGGCAAGGTCACAAGGCTCTGAATGCCGTTAGCAGACCAGGGCGGCCCAAAATAAGAGTCATGTAGGTCGATATGACTATGCTCTGGGGTGAAGAGGCATACAAGTCAAGTCAAGGAAGACATCTTGCCCAGAAAAGAATAGACTGTAGAAGAGGATCACGAGAGCAAGGTGCACAAGGAGAAAACCCTAAAGAAGCAATAGGTTGGACAACCAGCTAGTGGGAGACGTGGAGTCGGCTCCGCTCTGTGGGCCCCTCCCGAGGGTGTGGAGGCTTGTTACCCAGGCTCTGGAGTGAGGAAAGCACCCGGGCTCCAGCTGACGTGCAGAAAGCAGGTCAGCAGCTGCTTCTGAGTGGCCTGTGGCCGCGAGTCTGGCCCCTGTGTCGTTACAAAGATTCTGGGCTCTGGAGTTAGCAGAGGGATTGATTCCCAGCCCCTTGACTGTGGCTCTGCGAGCACATGTTGGTAAAGGGATTTCCAGGCTCTTTGAACAGCTCATTGATTTCCGTTTACAACTCACACAAACTCGGCTGCCTTCTGCCAGGGGACAGGGCGGGCATATTTTGGTTTTATCTTTGTCTGGGGACCAATGGAACAGAATTTTCAGCTACTTAAATGCTTTTCCTGGTCTTCCTCTGTTCCTCTGGCATATGCTTTTAGTTAATCAGTTTCTTTAAAAAGAGGCACAAAGGAGAGGGCAAAGGGATGGCTTGACCCTCCTAGAACCTCGTCGCAAGCCCTTCAGGATACTCTGTACACACTTTTTATTTTATTTCCTCAGAAGTGGCAGAAGAACAAGAGTTGCTTTGGCTTATTTTCATCCACTCATGCTAAAGTACTCAATCTAGAATCCCCCTCTTTTTGTCCTTGAGGGTTTGGTAGGAAAAACAATCCCTGCAGCCTCGGGTGTGGGGCGGGGGGAGCGTGCCCATGAGGTGCTGGGGACAAAAATTAAATTTGGGGCCTCCCCTGGTGGCACAGAAGTTGAGTGCTGGGCTGTGAAGCTGCCCGCAGCCTCTGCAGCGCCTGTTCAATCCCCGGCCACAGATGAGGGTCCCACATGGCG